TGTCCAATTGTTTTTCTCTTTTTGCATTAATTTGGTTGTCTATTGGCCTGTTTTTTTAGTTTCCCAATTCTGTCTTCTGCTAGTGAATACATCCAGTAAGTTTTTAGTTTGCAATATGGTATAACCATTATTTTCTTACTTTGTAGATTCTAATTCTGTTGACATTCTCCATCTTTTCATTCATTTTTCTATCAAAATATTAATCATCTTGTTGGACCTAATGCAGTTATTTGGATCCTCTATTTCCTCTTCTAGTGTTTCATGTTATCTCCTTTACTAGTCATTTCCTTCTGCTTCTTTGAATGCCTAGTAATTTTTAATTGTATGCTAGAAATTATAAATGGCATGTTATAGAGGCTCCGATTAAGTTATTTTCTTATGACAGGTAAATTTGATATTCTGGAGATTTGGTTTTAGATTTTGTTAAAGTGTGTATATTTCAGCTTTGTTCTAACTCCTAGCATAATGTTATTATTCACAGGGTATGATCTTTCTAGGTCTCAACTGAACTACCAGTGTTTCACAGAAGTTTCTTCATTTTGGCTAAATCCAATCTCAAAGCCTCTCCAGACATCCTACTAGTTCTGAAATCTCTACTCAACTTCCAGTCTTCAACAACCCTTTCTCCTCAAGCCTTATTTCACACATGAACAGCTCAGGAATTGGACAAAAAATATGAGGGTATTTTTCTTGGGAGAGATTTCTCTGGTACCCTGTATTTAAATTTGGGGTTGCACAATGGCAACCCTTTGGCTGTGGCTCTCAACAGTATACATTGTTCTTCATTATGTGACATTCTTTCTTCAAAGTGATCTAGTCTTTTGGTTATGCTTTATATTGAGTTTTTTATTTGGTTTATTATTTTCTTCATTTCAAGGACTTCTGACTTTTTTTTTTCCAGGGTCTCTCTCTTTCTTGAAGTAATCTTTAATTACCTGTATTTGCTTCTCTTATCGTTGGAGTGATCAATTTTTGCTTGTATTTGCCCATTTAGGTCATTCTTTAATTCATAGATCATTTTAATTATGAGCCTTCTGAACTCCTTCTCTGACATTTCATCAACTTTTCTGTCCATGGGTTCTGTTATTGTAGTATCTTCGTTTGTTTGGGGCACTTTCCTCCCTTGTTTTTTAATGTTGTCTATGTGTCTTCCCTTCTTTCAGTGTGGATCTGAGATATTACAGTTTTTACCCTATGTTCTTGTAGTACCTGTGCAGACTGTCTGTACCTCACCTTGATGTTGGACTTCCAGATCCTGTTGGTGTCCCTCATTATATGCTACTGCAACTAAAGGTGGTGGCAGCAATAGCCAAGGGAACTCTAGATAATAGTGGAGGTGACCCCAAGATGGATACAATGTCTTACAGAAGTAGAGCTAAAAGGGTGGGCCTTACATGGTCTTTGGGATGCCTACTCTGAGATGCAGCTGCTTCTAGACCCCGTTGTCGAAAGGTAGGGGCTACTGTGTGGGGAAGGCTATGGCGATGTCTGCAGTGTCCCAAGATGGAAGTCAGTTAAGATGAGGCTCCCAGGTGGGATGAGTAGTGAACTCAGACCTACCCTGGTCCTGGGTCCCACTATGTCGGTGTGGGTGGATCTGGGTGGGGCCTGAGCTCCTGCCCCTTTATTTTTTTCTTTTCCTAGCAAATACTAAGTAGTGGAATTTAAGGGATGACTCTTTTGTTTTAAAAAATTTACCTAAGTTTTAAATCTCATCAATTGATGATTTGGATTAGGAGATTGAGAAATTGGGGGGGTCTTTCACTGACACTGATTTAGTGAGATCTGTTTGATCAAACTTCAGCCAAAACAAAGGGAGGATCCAAAAAAGAATTTCACAGCATGAACTACTTTGGCAATGGGATGGATATGTGGGTGAAATGCCACAATGATGGTTGATAGAGTTAGGGACCATCCTAAAGACACTAAGCTCTGGGGGGTAAAATGAGCAATGAAAAAGTGAAAGCAATTTTCTCCAGGTCTGTTTTTTTTTCTCTCTCTCTCCTCCCTTCCTCTGTCACCTGAATGTGAAATTTTGAAGCCATTGGGGAGATAAGTAAACATTTCTGGTTCTATGATGAGGTCTACCACAAATGGTGGTTTTTCTATGAAATATTTCAGAATGAAAGGTTCACTAAAACATTCTTATCTTCATGGTTTCTATGCACAGGCAGCACATAGTAAAGCTGCTGGGCAGCAAACTCACCAGTTTGGGAATAACTTTGGAGAATATGACATCCTCACTGAGCACTCTAATGAAACACATGCTTCCAATATCTTGAAGCTGAGCGAGGACACCAATGCTCTAGGGATGGCAGTTAGTTCTTACCTACATCACCAAGTTCTAACACCTGGTGCTGTGCTAGGCTATCTTGCTTCATAGTGAAGAAGCTGAAAGACTAGATTTAAGAGTCAAGTCTTCAAAGAATGGTTCATTCCATATCTTAACAAGTCACTGAAAGTCTAGGAGAGCCTCCATCCTTGGGACCAATAGAGCATATAGGGTATTACAGGTACTGCCTCCACATTTAAAACTAGGATCCACAAGGAAAGTTCTACTTGAATGAAAGAGAAGGTGCCATCTGTTACACCTACATTTTTATTGTAGAGAACTGAACAACCATGAAGCCAAATTTTCTCAGCGTTTCCACAGGAACAGCAGTTGGGGAATGAAAGCAGCCAGAAAATAGGAGCTTGTCACTCAAGGGAGAAAATGTGCTACTATGTGGGAAACTTAAGGTGCCTGTATATATCCCCTTATAGTCTCTCTTCAGCCAAGAGTAATACTTTCCTGGATGAAGGTGGACCCATGCAGTCTCTATCATATTACCTTTGTTATTGTGTACTGTTTGTCCACTAAGAAACCATTTGGGATGACAATAGAAGACAAGTGAACCAAACTAATTAACCAGAAACATGGAACTATTTCTTGATCATCCCTTCATGTTACCCTCCCATCCCTATTCTACTGCCTAAAGAGCAATATGTCTCTATAATCCTACTGTGAGATAGCTTTTAGAATTTCTGTATGCTATGTTTACCTTCTTGATATCTTTAGTTAGCTGAAGAGAAAAGCGTAGTATCTCTTACCCCATACTTACATCAAAAGTATAGCTGTTCTATTAATTTTGTTAGTCTGTTAATTTTTAATTCTGAGATTCACAGATTAACCTACCTAAACCAGAGTCCACATTTGTTTAGTCTATCTGCTAAACTGAATTGGTGAATAAATCCTCAGTTAACAAATTCAACTCAAAAGCTACCAGGTACCTTCCACCTTAAAAATTCACTGACTTTAATCACCATTCTTAAACACAGCAAGCCTGCACACTCCCAATACTCTGAAATTCAGTTCCTTGTATAGAAAACACAAATACAAAGACAATAATAACCTAATTACCCAGGAAACCAAGCTCATGGGGAAGGGAAGGGTAGTTAATGTTCTTACACTTGTCTATATATGCTGCTGATGGTAAGCAAGTCCCCAACCTGTTTACCATGGTGAGCTGAGAGTGCCATCAGGGAAGCAGCCAGACTAGACAATAAAATATTCCTGAAAAAGGCACTTCATTCTCTGCCTCTCCAAATGCTGACTGTTGCTATTCTTAAATTTTGCTTTCTGTTTTGGATATCTCTTTCATAGCAGATCCAAATCCTAATGATTTTTACAATTCCTATGTCTTACTTCTAATTTCTCCCTAATATCATTATGTTATCTCACAAATATCATTATGTTAACCTCACAAATGTGACAGTATAAAAGTGGTTGATAACTCACAGAATCTTACCTTTTCTCTATGATCATTCAAAAATGTTTTGAATGATCATAGAGAAAAGGTAAGATAGTAAGAATTATTTATTTTCCACACTGGCTTTGCCTTGCCATTCTTGAATATAGTAAGAATTATTTATTTCCCACACTGGCTTTGCCTCACCATTCTTTTAGATATGTACCCTTTGTCCTTGGAATTTGATCATTAAATCTCCTTTTGCTTATAATTATCTTCTCAAATTTTCATTCTAAAAAATGCCTTTTCATTGCTCCTCTGTCAACTCAATCTCATGCTGTCATGTTCATATGAGATAGACACTTAAAAATAAAAACATAAAGCACAACTTTCTTCTAAGCAGTTATGCGCCACCAATGTCAGATATGGAGAAGACCACTATTGTTGAAAATTTATCTATCCACTCCTAGAGACTCTTGGAACAGAAAATATGGTCAGAGATATCTAATTGATTCCTGTCTTCCAGACTGGACTACAAGTAACCATAAGGGGTTTTTTGTTTGTTTGTTTTTTAATGGTAGATTAACTTTTTAACAAAGATTTTCCAGTTTTACGAGTATACTTTATCTGAAATGCCTGGAACCCAATGTGTTTCAGATTTCAGAGTATTTTGGATTTGGGGGATATTTACATAGACTTTTTTAGTTGAGCATACCTACTCCAAAAATATTAAATTCAAAATTCCCCCAAATCTGAAAATCCTTGAGTATTGTGTTTTATCAGTGCTCCAGTGGATTTTGGAGTTTTTTGGGGGGTTTGGGATTTTTGAATTAGGGATGCTCAACCTATATAACTACGAAGAAAAATGTCTCACTAAAATTAAGCCTTCACTGCTCTCAGATGAAATTTTCTTCATCTCCATTATATTCCCCCTAAAGATGGGCATACTGATGGGTCTGAGTCATAGTTTGTACATACTGTCCTAGGCATTCATGTACATAGTCATGCCAAACGATTTGCCAAGATGTTTTTCCTTTTTTCCCAACAGTATTTAGAATTATCTAAAATGCCATTCCCCGAGTTTTATTTTTTTAAAAAATAAAAACACTGAGTTAATAAAAACAAAGCTTCAGTATGATTATTTATACATAAAACATTAACGTGATTTAGAAGGAAACCATCTGATAGCATCAATCTTAAATATGAATGTATTTAGCAATTATAGAATAACTTATAATAAACATTATTAAAACTATCACTTATGGCACTTACCTTTAAGCTGATGAAATTGTTTAATCAGATCTTTTATATCCAGAGAATTATTCCCTGAAGGAATAAATACAGGAAATCAAATACAGGTACATAAACTTCCCAATTTAAAATGCTTCTTAAAAGCAACAAATATATGATCTAAAGCAATAACAAACCTTCTCTAAATACAATAAGTTCTTTAAAATAAATCGCTGCAAACTGGGTGATGTTTGATGGTTTGGTTTTGAGAACAGCTCTGCTAACTCCCTCGAGTAGAGTCTTGAGGCCATAGGGTACGACAAGTCTGGGCTTTGAAGAAAGCATTCTGGCAGGATGTCTGTAATCTCAACTATAATAAAGAAAAACAAAGTCTTATAACACAGGAATTTTTATTAATCTCAACTATAATGTAGAAAAACAAAGTCTTAAACACAGTTTATTAAAATATTTCTTATGCGTTAACCATGGTTTCTGAGAACAAATCTTCTATTGAAATTAAGTTTAGTTTTAATCTCCAGGTATTTATTCTAGTAAAATGGGCTAATTCTTGGTAGAAAAAAATAAATACCTAAAACCCTACTAATAGCTACTAATAGCTTACTATATAAGGTGAGCAACCCAGTACTATTAAATCCATAGGAAAAGTCCTACCAGTACTCCCAGGATATTAAAAACAACAAAAAAACAAACCAAGCAAACAAAACCTGCTTCTGTGAAACCCAGCAAATATTTTGGGAAATAACATTTAAATTTATGAAGTTACATTTCAAGAAAGATAAATTAAGCATCTGTGTCTATTCCAAACATGCACAAAAACACTGACTTTGTTGGACAAAACTGTTTCTACAAGAAAATGACTTGCTCACTTTTGTAAATATATCATCAAATTGCTCATATTTTTCCTTTAAGTTTTTTACTATTAATCACAGTAGGTAAAAATGTTCTGAGGTGCTGTGCCATCCACTATTGTATGCACCTCCCTGTCCATATGCTCCTTTTATTCTCCTAATTTCTTCCTATCTTCTCCCTTCTCCTGATTTTCTGAGGGTATTGTATAGTCTAACCTGTAATTCTCAGAAGCGCAGAGATTGTCAATCCTAAACTGTGTCAGTGTGTAGGTTCTGTCTCATTCTAAAATACTGTTCATGAAGGCTAACAAATACATAAGAAAATTAAATTCATTCAGTGGTAAGGGGAAAACCGTGGTAGGAAAAACAAAGTGAAAATACTGCAGGAGGTTAGCATTCTAATGCAAGCCATTGGTCCTTCACTTTTTGACAGAAATATATTAAATCGGTTCTTGGGCTACCAAACAGTCATCACAAAATAGAAAACAAGTGGTTAAATGATTCCACTGTCCTGAAGTCAAAAAACAAATCTGTTGCTTAGGAGAATCACAGCTGTTCTGGACAGATACCCATGAAAAATTTCTCCCGTGGGTCCTTTTAAAAAGCAGAATAGTATGACATAATGTCCTTAACTGCACAGTACAGAGTAATAAGTTTCATGGGGTTAAGTGGCACAGTTTAGTTATGGCCATTATACAAGGGGATAACTTTTAATAAAAAGCAACTAATGTGTCATAGTAAAACGCTGACTATTTAAAAGCAACATTTCATCTCCCCGAAAGTCAGGACAAAACCATTCTATCTGCCTAAGCAAACCCTTTGAGAATATATCCAAGTAATTACTTAACGAAAACATACTATCAGAATACCATTCATTGGGAGCTTTACTAAATTAAACCATCTTTGAAAAAACTGCCACGTTTGGGAACCTCCTACAAGGCAGTTCTGTACAAACTGTCCTGAGGAAGTTGAGAAATAACGGTGGCGCCAGCATGGCCACACCAACGGGTAAAATAGATACAGAGGACTGTTTGTATTTCTACTCAAATGTCTTTCAAAAATAATTGTCAAGAAAACGAGGGCACTCTGGCTGGGGACGCGAGTGGGGACCTCAGAAGTACAGAAAACGTAAAAGGCACACACACACTCCCTCTAAGACCTCAGCTGGGACCCAGCTTGTTTTGCAGTTGGGTGGTGTTCGAGGGGGGTGGGGGAGGGGAGTCAGCAGTGAATAGTGGGAGACCCGGTGTGCCGATTTCGCAGCCCGCGACTTAACGAAAGGTAGGCGGCCGCCCAGTCGACACCCGCAGCTCGGCCACACACGGGTAGCCGTTCCGTCGCCGCCCACGCAGATGTGGGCCAGGACCTCCCACTCTGGGAACCCTCGGCCTTCCCAGACACTACAGGCCAGGTCCAACTCCGCCAACGCACGAGATTTCCAGAACGCCTAACTGCCTCCGGGGCACAAACTCGCCCCACCTTCCTCTTTCCGGCTAAGCTCGGGCCAGCTTCCTCGTTGCCCCCTCGCCGGCGGCTCCTGTGAAAAACCGACCTGGGCGGGGCTTTTATAACCCTGGAGACGTCAATGCGTGCGTCACAAAGCCCCACCCCCTCGCGGAAAGCTCGAGCGCCACGAAGGAGGCGGGATCGCGGCGGCCTCAACCAATGGGGAGCCGAAAGGGACAACGGCCGGAACTCGGAGGGCGAGAGGGGCGTGCTTCTCCTTTCCTGCCAGGACACAGAGGCGCCATGAAACTGGCGGTTCCAAACGGCCTGTAGGAAGTCGATGCGACTGGTCTATTTCGGTTGATCCGCGATGAGAGCTGCTTTGGAAGGCAGTTCTATCTTGTCATCACTGACTCTTCTTTCCCAGCACGACTCCATGCCCCTTTATTACTCTTTTGGGTCACCTTTAATAAAATTTCTACTAAGGTGTACACAACAAACACTGTAAGTGAATAATTATATCCAACAGCACTTCTTCGTTTGACAAAATCCCATTAATTCTTGAAACTTCTTGTTTCTCCATTATTAGGATCAGGCAAATCTGTTCCCTCAAAATCACTGTGATCAACAGGATGCAAGTTAAAGACAAACTGAGGCTCAGTTTTACCAAGTTAAAGAAATGTTGCCTCATTTTAAAAGGCCGGCTCTTTTCAAGGGCTCACAGATTCGTTCTGGGCGTTAAATAACTATACAATGATTTTGGATCCAAACAGCCTTCAGTGTAATCCATCTTCAAATATGGAAAAAGCAACAGGAACCACTGTAAACCAGCTGTTAAACAGCATCATTGGGTACATAGATCTGATCAGATTTTTTTTTTTTAAATTCAGGAAAAAAAAAATGCTTCTAGAGAGCTTTGCAATCAAAGTCAATATCAGGCCTCCATCTACATCCAAGCTACAAATAGCATTTTCTGGGTCAATTCATTCACTCAACGATTATTACTAAGTATCCATTAGTTGCTAGATAAGCTTTCTCTTACTGTGAAGATTACTATTTAAAGGGGAGAAATGTTCTTTGGAGTAGGTTTTCAGGTGTTACATTTTCCATACTTCATCATTTGCTTCCAGCCCCACTGTAGAAGTGTAAATAAAAGATGAGCTGTCATGATTTTTGAAGTTTTTACTTATAATACTGTAACCGTCAAGTGTGCTATGAGCTGTGCTACTGAAAACCCTAAGTACAGACATTGGAGACCCCATTTGTGGCATTTTGAATTGGAAATGTTAATGGTTGTGTAGCCTAACCTTGGTTGGCCATCTTGTACACATATTGTCAGGTACTATGCAGAAATACCTGTCACTCAGAAGGGAGACCTTTGCTCAATTTCATTTCTCCAAGGACTATTTTGGGTCACTCTGAAATGCAAATTGTTACAATGTGAAACATTTAAACAAGAATTTCTAAACCATTGCCCATTTGCTACTTTGGTTTCTTGAACTCCTAAGGATTATAATGTGGTTTTTCAATCGTTTGTCCTTGCATTTGTCTCCTTGCAATGGTCATTAGACAATCCACCTTGTTTTCCTATTCTCCTCTTCACATCCCAAATCCTTACAGAAGTTCAAAGTTCTTGATGTAGTCTGTTTACCTCTTCCATCTTCCTCTTGACCATCCTGTTCCCACTTGAGACCCCAGATTCTTGAACACACATGCTATTGTCACCTCTGAGTTTTTAGCTTATCAGGTCCAAGACCTAGTTGGCCCCTCCAGGCATCATTTTTATCTTTAAAACTAAGTTCAGAAATCTACTTTAGAAAACCAGTGGATTAGAAGCATATCCTTAGTGACCCCATAATAATATATTGTGACTGAGCTCAACCTTGCTATATAATTCTGTTCATTTTACACTTTTCTATCAGGTAAACTAAATACATAATAAAAGATGATGGCCTAGGGCATTATTTCTCTAATTCAGACCACCTGCATTGGAATCATCCTGGGAACTTATTAAAAACACCTTCCCAAGCCTACCTAGAATCTACTGAGCCAGAACTTTGGTGAAAAGGGCTAATCATTAAAACATAAAAATGGGAACCTCTGGCCTGTGGGAGAAACAATTGTTATCCAGAGGCTACCCGGGTTACAAGTATTATAACCAAGTCAACAAGGAGAGCTCTCAACCCCCTGCTAGTGTTCATAGAAAGGCAGGTCTATTCTGTGTTCTTGACAACTGTGCACACTAATGAGGGGCCACAACTACTATGTCCCAACTTTACATTCTCTTGTTCCTGTTTCCTTTTCTCTTCCTCTTCCTAGCTTCTAAGTCATCAACCTCTACTATATGTTTTCTTATGATCAACTGGGTGAAACATACCACTCACAGAAACTAAAACAGTTTATCACGATGGCAATAAGTTTTATCTTCATATGTATAAAGCCATGTTTGAATGCTTGTCCCATTTGAATACTTGATTTGTTTAAGGAAGAAATCTACTAAAAAAGTTTACACAGAAAAGAAAATGTGTGTATGTGTATAGTGAGTGTGTGTGTGTGTGTGTGTGTGCACGTGTGTTTAAAATTGGATGTGCACTGTCCTTTTAGTTGGCAGAAATATAAAAGTGCAAATTCAGTAAACTGATTTAAAGAATACATAACAATAGTCTATTTTTCTGTAACATCTGAAAGTTAAAATTCTTAACTCAGTAGAAGACTTAGTTATCGTGCACTAAAATTAAAAAAAAAAAGATACCTAACTCAATAAAGGTAAAATCTTAAATATATTAACCAGCAAGGTACATGTTACATCATTATTAATAGACCATGCCTCCAAGTCCATCAAATTATAAAAATGTGTTCAGCATACATAAAATATACATTAGGGATTTCTCTTATCATAGGCACAATCTAATACAAAAATATATTTGACATTTATAAAGTAGAAGATCCATTTGAAAGCCTCCAAATTAGGAAAGGGGAAGGAGTAGTAACATAAAAGAGAAGCACACATAGATGAAAATAGCTCTACTTATATGATTATTTTCTTCATCAGCAAGGGGAAAAGAGCAGTTTATACTGAATTAAGTTACCAGGCAGATCACCGTCAGTACACAGGTTGGATGGGGCACAGCATGTAGGCCAGATAACTGTAACAAATCACTCAATTCAAAGTGTACTCAGATTCCAGCCACCCTCATAGTACAGTGGACTCACACTGTGCTTTTATTATTTTGGTGTCCTTAGAATGTTCATCTACCCACTGTTTGTGGACCACATTAATACAAATGGGCCACTGGGGTTCTCTGAACTGAGGCTAAGAGAGACTATTTTTTAACAGACCTATGCTTTGACTAGTAAAGAAAATCTCCTGAATGGTGTTGTACAGTTATCTATTAAGTGTCAGCTGAACACAAATTTGAATTCCTGCAATCTCTATGGGAAAATAAAAGTAACTTTTAAAGCCATGAATGTACACATAAGTTATTTTTAAAAAATTGAAAGCATAAGATTTTATGTAATTTTTGAATACGGAAGAATAGCTTGAATAATATTGGAACTGAAAATTCAAATAAGAATGAATGAGTCAAGAAGTTCATGATTCAGAAGGCTCCACAGTCAAAACATAAATGTTTGCTGTGTATACTATAGATTAAGAAGAGAAAAAAAAATGGCAACAGCCATACTTTAAAGATTCACAATGTTCTTCCTGTCAGTTATCAGACTCCCAATATTTTTAGACACTAATTTTTCTCTTCAGAAAAATTTTCTCTTCTTGTCTTCTGGATGTACTCACTCCCTGAATGTAGGAAAGCAATCTTTTCTCTCTTGCTGGTATTAAAAATCCATACAGGGTTTACATCAGGAAGTTAATGTGAATGAATAGTTTGGAAACAGCACACTGATTTATTATTTAAAAATAATAAATCACAAAACTAAAAAAAAAAGTGATTCATGACAGAATGAGGAAACATAGGTTAGCCCAAGTCAATAAAGAGAAACTTCTTTCAAAGAAATCATTTCTTCAACATAATATTAAATTAGGTTAAATTTGTCAATATTCTACCTGTTCTTCTCCTGTTTTATTTTATAAATATCAATGTATTAACATCGTGTGAGATGGTGCTTCAGTCAACAGGATATGTAAATGAATGATACTCTAAACCGATACCCTTTAGTTGGATATAAATTTTTTAAAAATTGAACCTAAAGATTGAACCTAATTATGGCAAAAATTCTTGAAAGTGACTGAGGTATTTAGATTCTTCAAAACCCCAGGAGTTCAATACTGTGCATGGAGGCAAACTAAAATCAATAAAAATAAGCAATGAGAATAAAAAAAATAATTTGAATTCCTTTTATAACATCTAATAACCTGAGCTAAGGGGAAAATGATTAAATCCTGGCAATATACAGTCCAGCAAATACTTCACCATCAACTATTTTGAGGCAAAAAGAAAAACAAAAACCCCATATTTATTCAAGAATAATTTTTCAAGTAATTTTTAAAAGATTTCTAAAAGTTGATCATTAGGCAATTTTTACAAAGAAAGGGGAAAACTCCTAAAATATAGGTGTTATTTATCTAACCCATAGAGAAGGAAAGAAAAGGTCTACTTTGAAACATTTTGTAGACAATCTGGAGGTGAATATTTTTGATAACAAAGCTTCAACCAAAGAGCATTTTTTTTTAATAAGTAAACCATGGAATACTGGTTTATTAATATATGTGTGTATCTATATGTGTGTATATATATATATATATATTATAGTAGAAGAATATTTAATTGGTGGCTAGGAAATCTGCTTTCTATTCATTGCTCCACTGATAACAGGGATAATTAAGTGGGATAAGTAATAAATTATTTATAAGTGATAAATTAATTGGATTAGGTGTTTTGTGCCTGAGTTTCAATGTGTGTGAAAGGAGATAAGAATATCTGTGCTATATTATTTATAGGCATATTTTGAGGCTAAAGTAAAATGCTAGAAAGCACTTTTATTTTTTCAAAACACAATATAAATACTATGTCTTGATACTGTTAATAATTTTACAGGTGCTGCTTCACGACACCCATTCTGATGTCTGCTTACGGTAGGCGTTCCTACAAGATCACAGGACAAATATTGAGTTTGATTTTATTTTAAAAATAATAAATCACAAAACTAAAATGTTGGAACAAGGTCACTTAACCCTCTCCCCAGGTGGTTAGTTATTGTTATTGTCATCATCATTATTATTTTCGATACATGTTTAAAAGAGGAGATCTTTAATATGTCAGCCTCATTGAGAAAATGTGTCCCTGGCACAGGTGGTTTGCAGAAGAAAAGTCGATCTTCACAAGTGCTTTGTCCTCTGCTTTTATTTTAAAGTGCAGACCCTTGGGGGGGAGGGACAGAGGGGTCACTCCAGGTCTGTCACTGAGGAACCAATTCCCTCAGAGAGGCCAGAGCAGCATGGATGCGGACGTGCAATCTGTTTTCAAAGTCGTAGCCAGAGAAATCCTCCTGTAAGAGCAGAGAAAGACTGTTTAAAGTGGACGGTTAGCTCCACTTGCACAGGGCACTGCATGGTAAAGCACAGGACATTTCACACTCCAGGCAAAGCTCCCTGCAGCCTAGTAAAGGTTTCACATCCACTTGATTTTCTTATTCCCCAAACCTCAGACTTTGTATTTACTCTACAAGTGTAAATTGAATGCTGGTAATGTTCTCTTTGGAGAATTCTCCTTATGTTATTCTTAAAATAGTAGCCTCAAGTTGTGCTCAAACTAAGTTACTGCTAGAAATTTTTAACTCAAGAACATAGTTATGAAAAACAAAAGCTTATTTTCCCTGGAACTAGGTGCATGCTCGTATTCCCAGCCTGCATGTATTCGGGAGGCTGAGGCAAAAGGATGGTTTGAGCCCAGCAGCTGGAGACCAGCCTGGGCAATATAGTGAGACCTTATCTCAGAAAAAGAAAAAAAAAAAAGTTTGTTTCTCCACCCAAACACTAAGACTGTAGCAATTATAAAACAGGCTGAATAATGTCTCAGGATCTTGGAATTTCACTTAAAAATCCAGGGCTCAGCCAGGCATGGTGGCACATGCCTATAATCCCAGCAACTAGAGAGGGGGCAGGAGGATCTCACGTTAGAGGCCAGTCTCAGCAATTTAGCAAGACCCTGTCTCAAAATTTGAAAAAGAGATGGGGATATAGCTCAGTGGTGAAGTATTCCTGGATTCAGTCCCTAGTACAAAAAAAAGAAAAAGAAAAAAGAAATCATGTTCTCACTGATTGAATTAGTTATCACTTCTCCTTTCCAGAGTTATTGATCAGAACATTACCTCACAAACTTTCTTGAATTCAGACTCAGGTGTACAGTGAACAGGAAAAGAAGGGCCATGGGGAAGAGGAAGATTCAGGATTTTTACCTTTGCTTGAAGAAGTAGAGTTCGCCCTCTTCCTACAGTCTAGATACAAGAAAAACGTTATTTCAACATACAACCATGTATATTTAGGCAGAAAATATTATCATTGGAGGACATGTTAACGAACATAATTCATAGTACGTAGAGGTGAGTCAACTGGTCAGTCAAGTCAAAGACTCCATGTTTCCTTAATATAACAATGCTTATTAATTCTCATCAAGGCTTTGCTTGATAAATAATGCTTCATAGTCCTCACTGTACATCCTGTGAGGAGCAATAACTGAGATATAGTTCTATAGGTTAAAAGTTTACTAAACAACCTGAAATTATTGATAATTAAGAAAGTGTTTTTTATCTGAAGACACTAAGATATATCCTTTTGAAAGTATTGCTCAGGGGGATATTAACTTAATTTCTCAAAAATAGATAGTCCATTCTTGTTGTATACATTATGGGTACATGAAGAGAAAAAAAAATTTCATTAAAATAAAGAACATGGTGTTAGAAGATTCTATCTAAATTTGTAAAAATTACATTTTCTGTTTTGGTAAAATTAGGTGTCCAAATGAAAAGATTTTCCAATTAAAAATCCATCTTTGGAAAGATAAGCTTTTACATTTTCAAGAATTAGGCTAGAGTTTTAATTCTGTTGATTGCCCATTCATTTGAAAGCTAAGATGAACTTACTAAAATTTGGTATTTTATAAAGTTAACCCCACTAACCCATTGTACTAACTTAAATGCACACCTTGATAATAACTGTCAATATTATTTGTATGATAGTCTAAAATTTTTAAAGTAACCATACATGATATCATCATCTTTATTTATTCTCATTGACATCTTTATTAAATTGGCAAGGCAAGTATTTTTTTTTTCTGTTTCATACACGAGGAAGAAGGTATGTGGTTAAGTAACCTAACCAGTGGCATAAATGTAAATGGCAGAATTAGAATCCTGACTCAGTTCTGTTCCCAGTACATCATCCTCCATCATATCGTACTGTACTAGAAAAAACATTCGATTTTCCTCAAATGAATCTTTGTCTCAAAAGTTACATTTATAATTCAAATTCCAGAAAAGACATTACTTCCTTAAAGATAGGAAAATGGGATTACTGGCTTTTTGGACTCATCCAACATGAAACCAAGGAAAACAAAACAAAGAACCCTATGGTTCAATCCATTTATTTTAAGTGAGGGATGCTTTGTGCCTGTTTGTGAGCACATTTTTGCTGATGAATATTATTTTAAAATATATGTACATATATGGAAGTGATCTTACCTCTGGTTTGTCTAATAGAAGACAGCCAAGTTCATAGCAAGCATATGGCTGAATATACAAATTGTTCTGACGACACACCTCATCTTTAGCAGCTCGCTGAAAGAACTGAAAGTAATAAAAAATGTTACTGGAATAAATTTATTTCCCTACTAGCATAAAGCTCATCACAATCTTCTGGAGACAAGAAGGGAGAGAGATTTTCTTTTTGTTTTCCAGATCAGATTTTCTCTTCTCACTTTCATTCCTTCCTATCCATCCCATTCACATTTTAGAAATCCTTCACATGCCTGTCTGGTGTGCTTCCTCCAGAATATGTCTTCCACCACTCAACCTAACTTATGCTACTTATTTTTCCAGATGACACACCAACTTCTATGGATCTTATTATTGAAAAATATTCTTATTTGTATATCAAAACATCCACATTTTTTGGTGGGTGTCATACTTTTAATTCACAAGTAAGAAAAAAAATGCCACGAAGAAAAAACATTTGTTGAGCACCCACTATGTGCACTACATTGAAGGAACTAGAAAAAAGTATAATATGTGGGTTCTTGAATAATGCAGAATTAGTTTGGAAGACAAGAAACACAAAAAGAGTTACAGCATAAGATAAGAATAAAAGACCTGATTGTTCACTTGGAACTAGTAGATACATGAAATCAGAGATATTGAATAAAGCAGCTAGAATATATTTCCATGTCTCCTCCCTAATCTTGGTGGAAAAGCATCATTTTTATATTTAAAATGGAAAACACACAAGCCAAGAACCACCTCTTGATGTGTATCCTGATTGTGTCTTGTTGGTACTTAAACAGAGTGATCTAAAATAAACTGTTTAGAGTCATGTAATAATGATCATAATCACACATTGGAAAATTGATTTAAAATTCCAGTACAAATATATTAATATTCTTGCATTTAAAAGTCAAGTCTCTATTACTTATATGAACTCTTTCATAAAGTAGTCAAAGTAACTCTGGGATACACTTAGAAAAATTAACTGAGGTGGGGATGTAGCTCAGTGGTTGGGCCCAGTTCTAGCCCTAGCACTAAAATGAAAACAAAACAAAACTAACCAAACAAAAAACTAGGTTAGAAAGATCTCTCCAACAACACTGGAAACCTTTTAGTGATTATTTTTCATTTAATATGTACCTAAACTATCCTAAGCTAGCAATTTCCTGGACTTCACCTCCAGTTCTACATCAGAAAGCTGCAGGTATAAAAGAAGGAAATGATCATTTTGGTTTCTGGCTATGTGTGAGGCCTCCTCCTGGCTATTCATGAAATTGTATCTTTGATAAATACCTAGTGCCAGAAAAGAAGCCCATGTATAAAGAAGTGTCCTGGGAATCTGCAGTTACATTAAAAATACTACACTCATTACCGTCAACTTCTACCATCTGAAAAGATGGCGTTAATCAAATAAAGTGGGTAAAGTTCACATTGCAGTGGGAGGTTTGGTTTTGTTTAATACTTTTTCATCTTTCTCACAAACACAGATGTAGGTGGTCATGGTTTATTTTCTGTAGCCATGACAATGTTAACAGCTTACCTGAAGGGCATCTTCTGAGTTTCCTAGACATTTGTGAATGGCACCAAGAAGCAAATACTTTAATCCAACAACAGATGAATCATCCACTTCGTGGCAAGCTTAAAGAGAGGGCAGTGAAAACAGCAGGAAGGAAACACAGTCATTCGGTTCCTTGAATATCACCAAGCGTGAAGTCACTACTTCACCCTGTAGCTACATATTCAGTTCATGTTTCTGCTCCCAGAAATTCAGAAGACACTATTCGTCTTCCATTAGTGAATCTCCTCCATCAAAGAAAGGCAAAACTATCAAGAAAACTCAAAACAGCACCCTATTATTACCAAGTAAAAGAAGCCACTCTGAAAAGGCTGTGAAGATGATTTCAAGTATTATTCATGACATTCTAGAAAAGGCAAAACTATGGGCACAGTTGAAAGATCAATGGTTACCAGAGGTTACAGAGGATGCAGAGACTAACAAGTGGGACACAGAAGACACACAGAAAATGTGCAGCACTAGGAGTGAACCCCATGTGAACTATGGACTTTGGGTGAGTTATGCTGTCACTGCTGGTTCATGGAGTGTAACAAATGTACCACATGGTGGCAGGAGGCTGCAGTGGGGGAACCTACAGGATGGGAAGGAGTATATGGGAACTGTCTCTTCCACTCAGTTTTGCTGTGAATCTAAAACTGCTCCAAGGAAGAAGCTCATTCATCTCAAGATACTGCATCACCTTAACTTCACAAACCATGCAACAGGCACGTTTACATGACTGAAGTACTGTGCTAAGCAATCAAGAAGGACCGGAAGCTTTCTTGAAGGATGTTATGGAAGTTTTCCAAGGAAATGAGATCAGATGCATAGTGGAGCTAATAGAGGAATAAAGTAATAAAAGTATTTCTATGGACTAATAAAGATATTAAGGTGCAATGAGAGCGTATGTATATAAAATGTGAGTTCAAGATCTTAGGGCAGCGATGTTAAGGAAATGTTAAATGCAGTTCCTTCACTTGCTCATTCATTCATGCATACACTCACTCAGTCAATATTTATTTGGCACCTACTATTTTTCAGGCAGCAGGTGCTCAGACTACAACAGTGACAAAATAGGTAAAAATTCCTGCCTTCACCAAGGACTAGAATAAACATTTCTCCAAAGAAGACATACAAATGGCTGACAGGTATGTGAAAAGATGTTTAACATCATTAATCATTAGGGAAATGGAAATCAAAAATCACAAGGAGCTAATATTTCACATTTGTTTGAATGGCCATTATTAAACAAACAAGACAACAAAAAATAACAAGAGGATGTGGAGACATTGGAACCCTTCTTGGTGGGAATATAAAATGTACACATAAAAATATAAATATAAATGTAGTTACTATGGTAAACAGTATAGAGTTTCCTCAAAAAAATTTTTAAATACAGGACTAGGGTCGTGGCTCAGTAGTAGAGTGCTTGACTAGCATATCTGAAGCCCTGGGTTCAATTCTCAGCACTGCATATAAATAAATAAAATAAAGGAATGTCAACAACTAAAATTTTTTTAAAAAAATTTAAATCAAATTAACATATAATCCAGTAGCAATTTCCTTTTGGTTCTTTACCCAAGAGAATTAAAATCAGAATCTCAAAGAGCCATCTGCACATTTGTGGTCACTGTAGCATTATTCAAAATGGCCAAGATAAGGAAACAATCTAAATATCCATCAGTGAACGACTGGATAAAGAAGATGTAGGACAGACATATAAAGGAACATTATTCAGTCTTACAAAAGAAGGAGATCCTGTCATAGGCAACAACTGGGAGGAACCTCAAAGAACATCCTGCTAAGTGAAATAAACATCACAGAAGGAATACTACACGATTCCACTTATATAGGTATCTGAACTAGTCAAGTTCAAAAACAGAAAGAAGAATGATGATTTTAAGGGGTAAGACAAGTGGGAGCTGCCATTCAATGTGTTTAAAGCTTCAATTATGCAAGATTAAAAAGTTCTAGAGATATGCTTATACAACATTGTGCCTACAATTAACAATAAAAAAAATTACTATGAAGATTGTAAGTGGGTATCAGTGTGCTTAGAGGGCAATATGGGGAAATGTACCAAAGAATTTAATTGGCACATTCAGAAATTTCTCTTTCAGGAACTTACTCTCAGCTAATACAGCACACAGACGCAAAGATATACGTGTCCACTATGGTCATTAAAGCAACTGTTGGAGCACAAGTTTGGAGATAACCAACGTGTGCACAGCTACGGTACCAGTTAAGTACATCATCAATGTCTCCTATTTTGGAAGACCACAGAGACATTTCAAAGAATGAGGCAGCTCTATGTGTCAATATTAAATGATCCCCAAAATGTTGTTAAATGAAAAAAAGCACAGGGCGGACGAGTGGGTAGAGTGTGTTCCCATTAAGTGCAGCTATCTCTTGGCATCCTTGGCACATCGGTTCCAGGACCCCCCCAGGATCCCTAAACCCAAGGATGCTCAGGTCCCTGATGTAAAATGGCCTGGCATTTGCAGATATCCTGTACATCTTTCTATATACTTTATATCATCTCTAGGATTACTTGGAATGACTAAAAAAAGGTGAACACTATGTAAATAGTTGTTATACTGTATTGTTTAGGGAATAATGAGAAGAAAAAAAGTCTGTGTGTACATGTTCAGTTGGAGGCAATTTTGTTTTTCAAATATTTTTTGTCTGTGGCTGGATAAACCCACAGAAGCAGAACCCGTAGATGGAGGCAGGGGAGACTGTATGAGTACACACACACACACTCATACCTGTATAGATAGGTACACTCACATGTATTTGAATGTATGGAACATCTCCAGAAGGTCACTCCCAAAATCACAGGCTGCAGTTGTCTTTTGGGAGGAGACGATGTCAGAGTGGAAGGCATGCTTAACAATTTGCTTCCCACCTCTTTGAGCATGTGGGAATATTTTTGCAAGTTTGTGAACTACTTAAAAAAATTAAAACACCGCTGATCCTCAAAAATAATGTCAACAACAACAACAACAAAAATTCTGTTCTTAAGAAGCTTACATCTTACTGGGCACCATGGTGAACACCTGTAATCCCAGTGGCTAGGGAGGTTAAGGCAGGAGGATTGCAAGTTCAAATCCAGCCTCAGTAACCTAGCAAGCCCCTAAGCAACTCAGTGAGACCCTGTCTCTAAATAAAATACAAAATAGTGATGGGGATGTGGCTCAGGGGTCGAGTGCCCCTGAGTTCAATCCTCAGTACCCACCCACGCCCCCCCCCCCAAGAAAAAGAAGTTATATCTTCTGGGGGAAACAAATAGTGCAAAAGACAAACATGTAAATAAGTGTAAGTGCTAAGATGCTAAGGTGAAAAATAAGGGGGAAGTGGGATTAGAAGTATGTGCATAGGTCGAGTTTCACTGAAAATGAAACATTTGAGTAAAGACCTGAAGGAAAGGAGTGAAGGAGCCATGGGAGTGTGTGGGGGGAAGCACTCACAGTGGTAAAAAGAGCATGTGTAAAGGCACTGGGGCCAACAGGGAACAGGAAGAATCAGCAAGGCTGGAGCCTGAGGAGCAAAGGGGTAGAGCAGAGAGCAACTGTGTAGGGCTCTGCCAGCCAGAGTGAACTGGAGATGATGGCCATAGAGAGTTCTGAGAAGTGGAGCGATACAATAGTACTAAGGTTTAAACAGAATCACCCTGGCTGCTGTGATGAGAACACAGACGGCTGGCTTCACACCAGGAAGGACGCGGTCGGCAGGGTCAGGGTGGTGGGATCAGGGGCCATGAGTGAAACTACCAGAGCAGGAGACAGTGACCCAGCAAGCTCTGCTGACCGTTACAGAGGGGGCCTCAATGCACAACGCTGTGTGGGCTTGATGGACAGCATTTTTGAAACACTCAGGATCCCCACTGCCTGCTGCTGTCACCAGTTTCCGAGGGAGTGTAACTTCCTCTACAAACTCTTCACTGAACTCTGTGTAGCTGGATTGATTTGGAGCATCGCTGCTTAACACCAGGGACTGATAGCATCTGATTAACCTCAGAACTGGGTTGACTTTTAATAAAGATATTAAAGAATTATCTCATATTCACCCCCAGAGACTGCCCCTCTCTCCACCAACACATCTTTCTTGTTGGATTGTTCATTTTGAAAACTGAAAAGATAACGGTCAAATCTCACAGGTGATTCATTCTTGTGCCCGCCTCTTATATCTCTATATGTTTTCAATCTCTCTAAATACATGGCCCTGCACTTGTACATTTAAAAACTTCTTAAGATCTTAATTATTCCTTTAAGGTAGACATTGGTAGATATTCTATACTTGCTTCTACAAGGGAAGGGTTTTGAGTTAGGCAAACCCTTTAAAAATGAACATAGCAGAATTTATATATCTAAGAAAATTTTGTTTTCTTTCAAGCAGTCCCCTTGGGAAGGGACGTTCCTATTCTAATTACAGAGCCACTGCTCCAAACTTCTTTGGGAATTTCTTTTGACCCCTGGAATATAAGAGTGGTAAAGTTTTAACCTTTAAGAGCAGACTCTTTTTTTGTTTGTTTTTAAGAAATAGGCAGAAGTCATCTATGGGGACGTCTGATGGTAAAAATGTGTAGGATTGATGGGCAATGTAATCTTTGGTCATAAACAAGTATAATAGCAGAAAAATCAGACAGATTTTCTACAGTGGTTTATAATCTATTTCTGGAATAAGCTCAAAACGTTCATGTTAAAGTCTTTTGGGAAACAGCAGTATATATGTGAATAAGAATTTATTTCCAAAGACATTTTCCATGAAACCATACTTTTGGAGGTACTTGTATATTTTTTTTGTTTTTTTTTTTAATTGTAGATGGACACAATACCTTTATTTTATTTCATTTTTTATATGGCGTTAGAGATTGAATCCAGTGCCTCACATCTGCTAGGCAAGTGCTCTACCACCGAGCCACAACCCTGGCTCTACTTGTATTTATTTTAACATAGCTGCCTCATCTTGGAATTGTTCTTCTAGCTGCATGATTTAAGCCTCCTCACACTCCCAGCAAGGTGAAGGTGTTTGCAGGATCACTGAAAGTCCTGCCACTCAATGTGTTATACTCACACCAGCAGCACAGATGCTGGCTCCCAGGGAGCTGGGCATGTCACCCAGCTGCTCTGAGTCTGCTTCCTCATCTACAATGGGCATGACAATACTCTCTGCCATTCCTCTTTCTCTGGATTGCAAACATCTTGCTAGACTACCAAATGCCATTCAAATACCTACCATTAAGCCTTTAGACGAAATGCAACATTATTTCTTTAATAATCAACAAAGCTCTATTTTAGTCAAATATTTAGTTCATTCTCTCTTTGAAATTTTCCTACAACTATAATAATTATCACTGTTACCTATAAGCTGCTGGGTTTTCTAATACATGAATCAAAAATGTAGGCTTCTAATTACACTTCAAGGTATGTGTACGCAAAACACTCATCAACTTATGTTGTACACTTGTGTTTGTAGTGACTTGGCTCATGATAGTTTAAAAAAACAAAAATTAACCAAAGGTCCATTAATAGAAGAACAAATAAACAAATAGTGGTTTGGGTATTGCCATACAATAGAATGCTACTCAGCAAGTAAAAGAAACTACCTATTGCTACAGGCTGCAATGTGTTTAAATTTCACAGACATTACGCTGAACAAATTAAGCCATGTGCAAAAAAAAGTACATCCTGTATGGTTCCTCTTCTACAAAGTTCAAGGACAAGCAAAACTAATCTACAGACATAGAAATCAGAACACAGGGTGCCTTGAGGTGGAGATTAACTGGGAAGAGGCAAGCAGCAAATGTCAAGGGTGGTAGATCATGATCATGGTGAGGGATGCCAGGTGTTTCTAGGTGTCACATGACTCGCTGAACACTCAATCTGAGTGTCTTATGCATATGAATCACACCTATGGAAAACAAAGTGCTTTCACTGGGGAAGGAAATGCATGCTTTCAGGGAGCCCCATGGCTGCAGAACTAAAACCAGGTGTAGCAGAGAATCACTAAGCACTCCCAGCCAGGCAAGTGCATCTGTCTACACCTGTGTCTCCCACTCCCACATGCTGTGACACAGAACAGCCCTCACTGCTGCACTCTCAATCCAAAAACAACACAGCCTGAGTAATGCTAAGGAGAGTCGGAAGGAGCCACACTGAAGAAAGAAGCAGGTGTGCACGGTCTCGTGTTTACCTTGACTCATCCTCTGCAGGTTGGGGAAGGAGCAGTTGGGAAGGGCTTTCCACAGGTATAAGACCTCGATGGACGCCAGCACACACAGCACTTTGGTTGGGGTTTGTTTCCGGAATCTCTCTGCCTGCAAGCAGTTGGAGTGATTAGGCTCTATTTTTTCAAAAATAAATACAAAATACATTTTGGAGACATGGAAAAGCAAATGATTCATGTTCAATGTGAATGTCCCTCTCCCACAAAGCCAAAAATGAAAATTTCTCTATATTAAAAAAAGTTCTGCTTTCCAGTTTCTAATATATTTGTAGATAGACCTCACATTCATCATTAAACTCAATCTATTCTCAAAGGATTCTGAAAACTTGGGGATGAGACCAGATTTATTTTAGTTTAAATCGATACATGTGTAATAGCTATGTGACAAACTACTCCATGTGTTACTACTCCATGTGTTACACAGAAGATGGAAGACTAGAGATGTTTGAGTTACAGGTCTATCAAGCTTTAAATTTTCTCCTTACGCCTAGTGTTCTCAGTTGCATTTATTATAAACATTATAATCCAACGTTTATTCAAACAAATTCATTAAATGATCATTCAATAAATATTAATGAAAGAAAAATATGCTTATAAAGTAAAAGAAAATTTATAAAATTAAAATCATGGAAACCTCAGGATATGACATGATATTATATAATTCAAGGTTAGCAGAATAAATTTGGGACATTGTCCCTATAGTCTTGACCTTTCTACTGGCAAATCTGACATATGCTCTAGCTTCTTATTACATCAAAATGTGACATGCTTACCCTCCTGAGCATCCAACAGTCTGTGTCTCTCACTAATTCTGCCAGTGTGCACCCTTTTGAGACCACCTAATTTTTTAGGCAGATATTTTCCCTGTCCAGATGTGCTCATTAGCTCTACAGGGTCTGTGACATCTCTACTCAAATTTTTTTTAAAGTTTTTTTTTAAAGTTATTTGTAGAGAAACAAGTATTTTTTATTCAGAGCAGAAATGTGCTAACAGGAGTAAATTCTCTCCACAGTGGTGAAGCACATTTCATGTGACATGTCTGTCACCTGATATGAACATGTTTTCCTAAAGCCCATCCAAGGCAGAGCTAGTCACAAATGTCCATCATAGATAAGACACTGGACCCATCAGCTCCATCATACCTTTTTCACCGAGAACTGTTCGATCTGGTTGTTTTTCCTTTTGAAGAGTTTCTGAACCTCTTTAAAGACGATCTGTGCCCCATCCACATCACCAGTGGCTCCCTGGCAGACTGGAAGAAAGCAGAAGTGTATTTCTAGAGTATTGGGGCGGGGTGGGGGGAAATGCCACTGAACCCCAGGAGGAGGAGGCCTGGAAAATACCACCAAGGAAAACACAGGAGCGCACACATGTAAAGACAGCCACATGGGGGACTGTGCTGCTCTGCATGAAAGCCACGACCCCCATCCTCTTGTTGGAGAGGAAGGCTTGCATGCAATGAAATCCTGAGCTGCTGTCACAGTGTACCACCTACTTGGAGCCCATGTGCCCAGACGGTAGAATAAAAAAGGATGTTTTGGGGCTGAGGATGTGGTTCAGTGGCAGAGTTTCCACAAGGCCCTAGATAAATCCCCAGCACCCCCCCCCAAAACAAAAACAATAAAAGGAATCTTAAGGAAGAACAACTAGGAGGTGAAGGGATCGTGGAAGCTTCATGGTAGGAGGAGGAAGACATCTGTGTCCTAGGAAGAAAGTCATGGATTAGTCCTGCACATGTTCATTGGCCTCCTACCACCATAACCCATCGACAAAATGTGAAGAAGAAACACAAACTTGCAGTTAGGAAAAAAAAAATGTATATTTCAGCTGTAGAGATCACACACACACACACACACACACACACACACATCACAGAGTTCCAATTACAAGGCACATAGTAACAGGATCCCTTAGCATGGGAGAACCAAAGTGCTTTTAGGAAAGATCAGAAAAGAAGAATCATTTCTTTTTGGCGTAATGGGAAGCTCTGAGAAGCTAAGCTGAGCCTTGAAGGATGGCTAAGATCTGGATCATCAGCATACCACCTTCATACTGCCCTGTGCCCCATGCAGACAATCCTTTAGGTGTGAGACACAGTACGCTAACTCATATGTCAAAAATAAGCATATTTAAACATCAGATACAGCCATGAAGAACTGATGCCCTGTACAGTAAGGTGCATAAATTAAAGAGGATTTTGTACTGATTGCTAATAGACTGACACAATTTTATAGGGACTTGTAGGATATCCCGGATAAATGCATTGGCTCATGTTAATTCAATCATAAATAGAAGAGTTAAGGGGATGGAATGAAAAGGGAAGATGTTTCATTAAATCCAAGTGTTCAAAATAAGGAGGTACTCAAAATAATGTTTGGGAGGCTGGGGTGTGGCTCAGTGCTTCAGTGTGCTAAGCATGTGTGAGGCTTTGAATTCAACTCAACACCAAAAAAAAAGTCTTTTTTTTTTTTTTTTTACTTTTAAAAATCTTTTTTCTTAGTTGTAGATGGACACAATACCTTTATTTTATTTTTCCATTTTTATGTGGTGCTGAGGATCGAACCCAGGGCCTCTCGTGTGCTCAGCAAGCACTCTACCACTGAGATACAATGCCAGTCTTTATTTATTTATTTATTTTTTGGTACTGGGAAATGAACCCAGTGGCATTTTACCACTGAGCTAAGTTCCCAGTCCTTTTTTATTTTCTGTTTTGAAACAGGGTCTCACTAAGTTGCTTAGGGCCTCACTAAATTGCTGAGGCTGGCCTCAAACTTGTGATCTTCCTACTTCAGTCTCTGGGATTACAGGTGTGCACCACCACACCTAGCAAGTCTTAAATTTAAGTAAAAGAATTATTTATGTGGATGCATAAGGAGAGTTCGTCCACATAAACCTGAAAGGATTTACATAAAGGTGCTTAAAGGCAAAAAATACACAACCAATTGGGGGTTTCTTCAGTTCCACACCTCATGTATAGTATCACAGGGACACACAACACTTTTGTCCACCAGGTGGCAGCACATCTTCACTTATCTCAAAAAGACCAAAAAAGCAAAAAACAAAACGAAGATTAGTGTTTATGCTATAATGATCTGCAGAGTTGAAATACCCTGAGTTCTATAACATTACAAGTAAATATAACAAGGTTGACAGGTAAAGCAATTTCGGACCAGATAACTATGCAACTCTGTAACCAGGGCACCAAAAGCATTAACACAATGAAAAAGACATGTTCAGCTGGGTGTGGTAGCACATGCCTGTAATCCCAGTGGCTCTGGGAGGCTGAGGCAGGAGGATTGCGAATTCAAAACCAGCTTCAGCAACTTAGAAAGGCCCTAAGTAACTTAACGAGACCTTGTCTCTAAATAAAATATAAAAAAAGGTCGGGAATGTGGTTCAGTAGTTAAGTGCCCCTGGGTTCAATCCCCAGAACCAAAAAACATGTAGACATGTTCAATCTCAAAAATTCCTTAAAATACTAATAAATTAAAAAATACAGCAAAAAGAAAAAAGTGTAATAAGGGCAGGAGAGGTTGTTGAGGGCAAAATGTTCAAAAACTGGGAAAGCCTCACAATAAGTATTTTCTCTTTTTTTAATATTTATTTTTTAGTTGTACACAATCCCTTTGTTTTGTTTATTTATTTTTATGTGGTGCTGCAAACCCAGGGCCTCACACATGCTAGGCAAACACTCTACCATTGAGCCACAATCCCAGCCCAAATAAATATTTTTTAAGACAGAGAACAGGATGGGCCAAGCTCTGGAGGGGCGAAGGGAAGGAAGAAGCATCAGGTACACTACTGAATTTCTTGGCATCCAGCTGGGTCAGTGAACACAGTAGTCCACTGCTATTTACTTGGTTATAGAAAACATGAACATGTCAGGGAAACTGCTGCTTCTATGATTCTCCACCTCCAGTATGTGTGAGTGGACTGTCCACAGACAGGCATGTTATGGCTGTGTGGACCACCACTCACCTGCAGTCAAATACGCATAATAACACTGTGACCACCTGGACTCATTTTTCAGCCTCTCAAAGGAATCAAATGCATCCTTGAAGTTGAGTTCGATCATGCTGCACCAACCTAGGAAAGAAATATAAATTTAGCATACAACCCTAAGGTAGAGAGCTCCACGGTCTGTATTTAAGCTACAAATCTCCAACATACCACTAACCTTCTTGTGAATGTTCTAGGAAACACTGAAAACTTAAAATTAGTTTTTCCTCTAAATGCTTTCAGTGTAAAGTTTGAGCAAGACAGGGCATTTTGGATATCACAACCGATTAAGCAGTATGGAAGAAAATGGTGTAAAGATTTCTAGAAAAATTCTCCAGTCTGCCCCATATCGTTGTGAGATTAACCCAAGTACTTCAAGTATTGGCGCAGGCAGAAAGAGCAGCAGTGGGAGCAGTATATTTATATTATATACTTAGCGACTCAGAAAGTCTCAAGGCACTCACCTAATGATTAATGATTACTATTAATGCTCAGACTTTTGTGAGAAATACAGAGACAACCAGTCAGAAATAAGTACTGCCCACCCTCCCTCTGCTCATTGGTTGTAGAGCCGAGAAGAGACCCCATCTTTCCTACATTAAAACACTGTCAGACTGGCATTCTGGTAAGGAACAGCAGCCACTAAAAGGAAAAAAATATATATATTCTCGTTGCTAATCATGTTACCTTCCGTCAACTGGCCCTACTGTGTGCTATCATGTGATACCAATTCTTGCTAATCTGTAGGGCAACCCTGCAAAGCTGGCTGATGGTATCCTCTTGTTAGAGGCAAAAAACCTAAGGCAGCCACAGGTCAGTGACTTGTTCAAGGCCACACAGCTTTTAGGAGGGAAGAATTGTGGATCAAAGTCCAATGTTCTCTCCTTTTCACAATTGCCCCCATTAAAAAAAAAATATGCTGGTATCAGATACCAAAGTAATCATGTAATCTTACATTTGCCATTTAAACAATTTGGCGGGGAATGATATCCATTTGCACCAATCTCACTGTCAAATTCTGTGGGACTTCTATGTTGACTTATTTTAGCTAATTGTTTTCATCCCATATCAGATGTCAGGGAAGGATCTAGATTAAATACAAAACCTAGGTGGAGGCCTCAAGCACAAGCCTGCAGAACAAGTTGGAGTGGCTACTTATTCCTGAGTCGACCTTCCTAAGGCCTGGGGTAGATGGTCCCTAAGCTTCCTTCAGCTCTAAAGTCCTGTCCTGACCTGAAATGGCAGGCCAGGAAAGGCCACCAAAGCTGCGCTTTTTAAATCCAAGTTCTTTGAAACACTTCTCACTCTACCTTATGGCCACTAAGCAGAGCTCCATCAGAGTTTAGGTTACATAAAAGTACATGTTTCCATGGGATCGTACATCATCTTCTCTTCCTAAACCATAAGAAGCATTTAAAATGTAATATTATTTATTGGGTAATTCCCAATCTTTTTGTTTGCACTTTTCTTCAAAGGATTCAGGAAGACAGTTATGTCCTCAGCAGGAGAAGCTGCTGTGGTCTGGTGCTGACAGGTGTTAATTGCTTCTCTGAGCACTCTCTGCTTCCTCCTCCCTGTCCCTCTGCAGAGGCAGGGAAGAGGAAATGGGGATGCTCCTTTCTCTACCCTTTTTCGATTCTTTCACGTGTGTTGTATGGTGTGAACTTGAAGTATTAGGCTGGAACCCCCCTTTAAAACAAAACAAAAACAAAACAACTTTTCATTTCAAACCTAAAGAAGTGTTTACTTTTTTTCAGAATAATGGAGAAACTGCTACTTAAAAGGACTTCAAAATCCAAATGTGCCAGGATTGGAGAGTTGACTGTAGTCAGCAAAAAGACTCAGCAGCCATGATTTTATTCTCTTTTAATGCTGAGTAACATTCCAATGTGTATATATACCACGTTTTCCTTGTCCATTCATCTACTTTAAGGGTATCTAGGTTGGTTTCACAGTTTAGCTATTGTGAATTTTTGCTGCTATAAACATTGATGTGACTGCATCCCTGTAGTATGCTGTTTTTAAGTCCTTTGGGTATAAACCGTGGAGTGGGATAGCTGGATCAAATGGTTCCATTCCAAGTTTTCCAAGGAATCTCCATACTGCTTTCCAGATGGAGTTGGAGAATATTATGCTAAGTGAAGTAAGCCAATCTCCAAAAACCAAATGCCAAATGTTTTCTCTGATATGTGGATGCTGATCCATAATGGGGATAGGGGGATGGCATGGGAGGAATGGAGGAACTTTAGATACAGCAAAGGGGAGGGAGAAGAAGGGAGAAGGGAAGAGAGAAGGAAAGATGGTGGAATGAGTTGGACATCATTACTCTAAATATATGTATGAAGACAAGAATGGTGTGACTCTACTTTGTATACAATCAGTGATGTGAAAAATTGTGCTCTATATGTGTACTATGAATTGAAATGCATTCTGCTGTCATGTATAACAAATTAGAATAAATAAATAAATTTTAAAAAGACTCAGCAGCCACTCTGGTGAAGGAGGGGAGAATCTTAGGCAAATAAGCACTTCTAAGTCCATTTACAAATGTTATCTCCAGGAGGAGGAGAAGCCTCTGACAGGTGTGGAGTCTCCTGTGGAGGCTTCACCTAAACCTTTGCGCTGCCCTGGGTGAGCTCCTCTACACCAATGGCGACTATGTGGCTCAGAAGGTTTAGGCAACTTGCTGGAGATCTCAGGGCAGCTGGCATTGAGGTCCAACTCTCTCTGATGTTATATTTTTCTTCTCAAATAAGCAGTGGTGGGAAGGAGGGGGAAAAAAGGGTTTGGATTCTTCTGTGCACTAGGTATTCACAAATGGCAATGCAGTTAATTCACTTAACATCACCAATTATTCTAAAGTCAAAATGTTACAAGGCAGCATGACCCAGACAGAGAAGCACCATGACACGTACTAGCATAACAATCAAAGTCCTTATTATGCAACAGCATTTTGCAAAGACAAACTGAACCGCATTACAAATGAAAAGTTGCATCAAGAAGCATCAATACTGCTTCACAACAAGAAGGTGGAGAGCCATTTTATATTTACCAATTTCATACAGACAGACATGTTGAATTTCTCTCTGATCTACTGCAAGCTCCAAAGCAGTATGGAAAGAAGTCAAGGCACTGTTGATTTGACACTAGGAAAAAAGGAAAATGGAGTTAGTGGCTAAGATCTGCCATTGATATTATAATCATCCTAATGCACACACACAAAAAAAAATCCTATGTGGTTACTTCAAACAGATTATGCAGTATAGAAGAGAGTTATTTAAGGATTGCTAAGAAAGCACTCCAATTGTCTCAGCATTTTTTTTTTTTTTTTTGGAGACAGGGTCTCACTATGGTGTCCAGGCTGGTCTCAAGCTCTTGATCTTGATCCTCCTACCTCTGCCTCTAGAATGCTGGAACTATGGGTATACACCCCACACCCAGCTCTTTTTGCTTAGGTAGTAGATTCCACCTGTAAGGGCTCAGCTTACAACCACCTTCTCCTTCAGCACCCTCTTCATGCTAGTACAGAAGAACTCGTTGTACCACAATTGCTTGCTATTCTATCCCTTTGTTGCCAGATATATTCTAAAAGCACAGGGCCTTACATACAGGTATGTATCCAATCCTGGCCCAGAAAGAGTCTCCATCAGCACTGAGGGAATGCATGATGCCACTCCCCTTCAGCCAGTCCTCAATCCTTTGTGTGGTCCCCTCAGTCTCTACTCTACACACTGGACAGTTTGATTCTCTAACCAGAATGCTGATCTCTAATTGCTTCTGGCCATCAGATCCTCCTCTCTCAGTAATTTATTAGAAATTCTCCAAAGATCCAGGTTGCATTTACAACTTTCGCATTCATCTGCTAATGTCCAGAACCACCAGCCTTCCATAGAGTCAGTTCTGCTTATTTCTGATTAAATACAGGAGTCGCCTACCCCACCCACTATTTGCAGTTCTGCTTTCTGTGGTTTCAGTTACCTGTGGTCACCTGTGATCTGGAAATACAATATAATACAATCACATTTTGAAAGAGAAGATCCCATTCATAGAACTTTTTGACAGTATATTGTTACAGTTGGTCTATCTTATTAGTTATTGACATTAATCTCTTACTGTGCCAATTTACAAATTAGCTTTATCTTAGATATTCACATATGAGACAAGCCTAGTACCTATGGTTTCAGGCAGCACTGAGGTTCTTGGACTACTGCACATAAATTTTTCTCTTGACTAAACACAGCTTTCAAAGTTTGCTGACCTGATTTCACCAGAACACCTAAAAAGCACCACTAGGACAACAAGGGTTTGCTGACTCGGAGGTAGGCATCAGCAGGTGCTAAGTGCCACGTACATCATGAATAAAACCCCACACACACTGAAGTCTTGACGCAGCCTGCTCTCAATGGCCTGCTGGCGTGAGTGGCTTTTCCTGCCCTGCCTGTGCTGGGCTGTGCTTTCCCTCATTCCTTCTCCTGTGCTTCCCTGAGTGTCTCCTGAAGCTGCTCCACACTCATTTCCTCCCCAAGGTTCCCAGCTGCTTCTCCTCTGCTCAGCCAGCCAAGCAGGGGAAGGGAGGGTCCTGGAAAAGAAGCTGCAGGCGGTTGGGAGGACTCCCATCACCGCAGGAGGCCTCTGGGACAGCAAGGCACCATGAGTCAGCAAGGTGATCTTCAGGACAGCCCATGACTCAGGGACATTGTAAGCCAAATGACTCATTATCCAAGGCCAGATCAATAAATGTCCATGTCCTAAAGTGACATGCTGCTCTGTTGTCAGGAAGGCTCAAACCGCAGTGTTGAAACCCTTATCCTCAGCCATGAATGCTGGGTAGGTGGCCTCAGAACGATACACATCAGCATGTCACCCATGGCTGTCTCCGAGCAGTTTAATGGGCAGTTGGAAGGAACCTCATGGGAATGTACGACAGACCCACAGTGCTGAAGTCATGCTGGCTGTAAGTACACAGCCAAAACACAAAACACTGGCAGGGTAAAAAAAATCAGTTTTCTATGCAGAATGCGTGTGTGTGCACGCACACACACACATGCACATGCCCGCACACATGTATGTGGATAGCTGGGTGCTTGTTACACCCATTGCAAACTTTTCCTTTTCTGGATCATTAGTTCTTTTCCTGTTTCATATATGCACTTGGCTCAGCATGGTGACAAAGAAACTCCAGGTTAGGGGTCTGCTTTATACACATCTGCTTGCTAAGTGAATGACACTCAGCTTTCTCAGGATGTTTCTGGATGGGCCATTGTCACTGAGCTGTTGCCAGCTGAGGGTTCAATGCATGATGGTGCAATGCCACAATATCCTTCAGAGGACAGAAAAGCACTCAGCAAACACACATTACACAACCTCTACATGTCAGGGGCGGCCAGGCTCTGGAGGTGCAAAAGTGAGTCAAAACAAGGTTTTGAATGCAAGTAAATAAAAAAGACAAAGAGGTAATGTTTGAATCAGTATCATTTCTCTCAAGCCTTTCAAAAACTTAGGAATGTACCAATTCCCTCTTGAGATGAAGTAATGTTCTAAGAAGTTAAGAAACCTGGTCAAGGTGAATAAGGCTAGGAGTTGACCAGTATTCAAATTCTCTGACTGACTCCAAGAATGGTTTTGTTTGGGGTGCATGCATGCAGCTATGATTAAATTAAAGATCTCGAGGCACAGGAGGCCATCCTGGATTATCTTGGTGGGCTGGAAATGTAATCACATGCATTCTTATATAGAAGGAAGCAGGGGGAGACCACACATGAAGAAAGAGAAACTCTGTGACCACAGAGACTAAGAGTGTAGTGATATGGCCATAGGCCCAGGTATGCAAGCAACCAGCAGAGGCACAAGAGGTAAGAAAAGGATTCTCACTATAGCCTCAGGAGCAATCGAGCTGAGGCTATACACCTTGATTTCATTTGGCTCAGTGTTTTGGGAAAACCCAAAGTATGAGAACTGGTCACCAAAGGTAGTAGGTGCTATAAACCAAAATAAAAAGAGGCAGACAAATCTAGAACTGCACAAAATGCAGCTTATAAGGGACTTACAGGCAGAAGCACATCTTGAGAGCTACAAGATTGGAGGATCCTTATACTTCAGGACAGGAGGAAAGGGATCATAAGGTACCTTAAACAAAGATGGCCAGCAGCCAACTGAAATATGGCCAGGCTTTCTCAGGACATCAGGTAAGTACAGACGTGAGTGCCCAGCATAAAACTCTTGGCTGACTCTCTTAGTGACTTTGTTTATCCTGCAGGGCTTAGAATGTGTTCAAGGGTCACACATTATTACCTGGTTACAACCAAGATGGCTGTAGTCTTGTCAAGAGAGATTCCCTACACCCAGTGACGCTGATTCTGAACTTCTGGCCTCCAGATTGTATATGAATAAATTTCTATTGTTTTAGGCCATCCTGTTTATAGCAATTTGTTACATGGCCTTAGGAACTGAACACGGTTGCTTTTTTAAAGAATTAAACTGTGAAGAAAGTAACATGTATTTTCATTTATAAGGATTAACAATTTGAAAGTACTAAAATCATATTATGGGAGCTGAAAGACATGGCCCAAGAACAAGTATAACTACAAAATTCTAGTTCTATCCTGATCATTCCTTAAGAAATTACAATGAACAGACATCAGGTAAAATAGTATGAATATAGTTTCCACCAAAATAATTTAAAATAAAAATGACCTATGGAAATTTTTATTGTTACAAATTAGAATATCTATACAGAACAGAGAAATAATTATTCTCAACTGGATATTTGATTTAGTTTAATTTTATGGGAAAGAGCCATTAAGCCAGGGCTTGGTACCACATTAGCTTTTAGTTCACGATGACACCATGATGAGCCATGTCACAAAAACCACTTGAAGCCTCAGTTTCCTCATCAGTAAAATAAAAAAAAAAAAATGTTATATGGCTTTACTTTCCAAAGGAAGCAATGAAGAACACAAAGCACCAATGTTTGCCAAATTAAATGGAGCATATTTATTGCCAAATTAAAGTAAGCATCGTGACCACAGTGATGGAACATGTTTTTCTAGTTATTCAAGCTCTTTTTCATAATAGGTGTATTCCTAGGCATTTCTAATACTTGTGGCAATCATAAAAGAAATTTATTGTTCTGTTTTATTCCGTGAGTGTTGCTGATCTGTAGGAAAACTCTGAATTTCTGCAAGTAGATTTTGTATATGTCATATTATTATACTCCTAGGAATTCTAATGATTTTTTTCTCTTGGATTTTCCATGGATACATTAAAATCATTTGCAAATAATTATGATATTGTCTCATCCTCTATAATAGATTTGCTTGCTCACTGGCTGAGAGCACCAGTTAAAATAGGGAATTGCAGCAAGCACAGCACACATCCTAGATTTTTTTCTGGCTTTAATGAGGATGTTTCTAATGTTGCACTAAGAAATGTGGTTTGCTGCAGGGATTTGGTTGATGCCATTTTGGGCAAAAGGAGAAATTTCTATTTATGATTTACAAACAGTTTGTTTCATTTTTTAAAGACCTGGGTCAGGTAGTGTCTTTCTTTAAACATTACTGATAGGATTATATATGGCTTTATCACTTACAATGCAGGAAATAATAGGCACATACTTCCTGAGGGAGAATCATGATACATCTCTTTGGAATAAGCTCTACTAGGTTAAAACATGACATTAAAAAATATACCTTATTCAATTTTATTTGCTAATATTCATTTAGAATTTCAATACCGATGATGAATGATCTACAGTTTTTTGTTTAGTGCTCTTTGGTATCAGAAAAATACTTTACTTGTAGAATCAGCTAAAAATATTCCCATATTTTCTTTGCTCTGGAATTGTGTATATGGTGAGCTCACTTTTAAAAATCATAATTAAAAATTAATTTAAAATGTTTAAATCACTATCATTAAATGTTTTTATTAATAGGCATTGGTTGTAAAAAAAAAAAAAAAAAAAGACTAAACACCAGTTGATACTTCCAAATTCTAGTACCAACCTTGTAACCAACACATTTGTATCTTAGGAAATAACTTCTACTTATATTCTCAGGGGATGTTGAAATAAATAATTTTATATAAATAAGTGCTCTTATTGCCTTGTTTTTAGAAATAAGTCTGTGTCACCTGTAAAGAGTGCTGGGAC